TCGTGCATCCACTCGTTATTTTCCTAACACACTCTATATGTATTCCCCATCTTCCGCTTGAATTTGCTCCGACATTCCAATCTTCATTTCGCTATTTTATCCAAATGGGCAACCAAAACCGGCGCACGAAAGTGCATGGTTAATGGTTGTAAAACTGAAACTGTCCCGTTGACCTCCTAATCTGTGATGAAAACCGGCAACCTAAGCTCCGGGACTTGGAGTGGCGAACCACATAAGGCCGCACTAGATTAAAAACGGTATTGAACCGGCTGACAGCAAAGCTGCCTGCCACCAAAGTTGGGTGACAGCGACGGGGTTCGAACCTCGGACCATGGGGTCCCAGGCCCACTGGTGTTCGCGACTAAACAACTGGGCCACCGCCACCCTATGCCTGTTTGAATAGAGTTGAGTTTTTTCTACGTCCCTTCACCTGATATGCAACGGCCCATTGCTAGGAAAAAGACTGCAAGAAGGCTGGATCTCCATGTAAAAATTCCAGGTGAAGTAGTGATAGTGGTGACAACATTTCGATATGCAGTCTTTAAATGCGTGGGATAGTGGTTCAAACTTCTACCCCTCCTCCCACAAATAAGATAGTTTTAATGTCGATCACAGCAAAGAAAATCCTCGGAAGTGTTTTTCAGCCACACCTATGGCATATTACGATAATCGTCCATCTTCTTTTTGCCACTATGCATTAACTACATCTAGCCTAGACATTGTTTGAAATTCAATTTCCACCGGTCCATTAGATATTAACAATAATATATCAAATATAATGATAACTCTGAGGATATCATATCTTATCTCGGGTACTTATCGCACAAGTCTGCATTTACCACTGTGAAGAAACCCGTCTCATAGAAAAAGTCATTTTATTGAGAGCGGTAAACTGTTTGTCACTGCTATCTCGTCCCGATAATCATATGTCCGAGTCCCACAACCACCATCGTCGTTCAAATGTCCCGCTCCGTATGCTACGAAAGCCATTCGATCGGCCTCCTGTCTTCTTAAAAATTGATTATACAATTAAGTGTTCACCAAAAGGAATTGGAGAGGTGAACTTTAATAGAGAATAAAGTAAGAGTAGGCTGCACTGAGCATTTTTTTCAAGTGTTGCTGCTTGATGGCTTTAAACTGTCTGATTAAGTGGTATAGATCAACCCGGAAGGGTTGTTTGAATGATGCTACAACTATTTCTCTTCGATTATGCGGGTTGAACACTGATATTTCTCTTTGTCCCTCCCCCGTACTAAATAAAACCATAGAAAGTCACATGGTTTGTTTTGGATGATAATTTCGACGGAATGTCTAAATTCATATTTGTTCGCCTTATCTGCATTCACACAGCAATTGTCAGAATTGGCACAGAAATGGGCTGATGAACTATCCCAAATGACTCGTCTCTCAAACAGTGGCTACACGTTTCAGGGAGTTCGTCTGGGGGAGAACGTCATGAGTCGGTGGTCCACTGCTCCCGTTTATTTTGGAGGTGAGTATCGATAATTAAGGCTCTTTGATCTTTTTCTCGTATATACAGCTTACGGAAAGTTTATAATCCGTATATCAATAATGCAGTGTATTTCCTCCGTATCGCTTCATCGGTACCCCTAAAAATCCTGTTCACCCTCATGAATGTGAACCTCCAGAGTTGAGTTCTTTTTTTCCTTCATACGTTACTTGGAATAAAAGACGCATATAACCTCTTCACTCTGCACGTAGAATCCATCGTTCATTCAAAATACATCCATTTTCAACGAATTTTTGGTACCAAACATTACCAGAATGACTATCAATCTTTTCTATCCCGTCTCTCTGTAACTTGTATTAGTATAGTACAGGATTATTTCGTTGTTTATGGTCGTTGATGTGTACTACTCAAGAAACTTATTGAACTCTGACATGCTTTGCACTACTAACATACTTTTTTCGAATTCTCACAACTGGGAAAATAAAAAAGATTAATTTTCAAATTTTCTTCCCTGCAGCAAAAGAACTAGTCGATCATTGGTACCAAGAATCGTCGAAATACAAGTTTGACACGGAACCATCCAGCATTCAAGGCATCGGTATGTTCTGTCTCTGTTTCACTCCCCGGGGCGCTTCTTTTGCTATTTCCTTCTAACTTCTTATTGTGCATAAGAAAGTGTTTGAATTATCCACCGGCAATTGAAATTCCACTCAATTTCAAAAGTTTTTCGCCCACATACACGCTCTGTGTGTGTGTGTGTGTGTGTGTGTGTGTGTGTGTGTGCATATTTCGTCCAGCATAACTACTTTCTGCCTCCCCTGAGGGCGTTCTCAGCTAGCATTTTCGCAGATTCTCTCAGGTTAGCACATTATATTTGTATTTGTGATAGATTTTTGTAATGGCCAACAGCCGTCCCTGAACAGCTGTTCGATCCCAGTTGGGACTTAGTTGCGGCATCAGCAGTGGCAACAGTGCAAACTATTCTATGCTCCTACTGGGGTTCAAACGACAACCATTCAGCCCAGATATTAAAAGGGGTTAATTCAAACAATAAGTTTTAACTCGATCATATCTATCAACTGCTCTGCACCAGTTTATCCACAATTGAAGCTGTTTCTTGACTTGACTTGAATCTTTTTACCAAACAAACCTCACACCCTCGATTTTCCACCTTGATATCCACTGTCCTTTCCTGTTTCAGTTTGTACTATGCTACAAGAAAGTGACTGACAAACTTTCTATCCTGTTCAACTTTGAACTCATTTTAGCTGTGAGAGATTAGATTGATTACCCCCAAGAATGATTCTCCAAATATGGCCGGGCTTTTGATTCAAGGAACCCATACATATTCACTCAGGGTGGAGGTAGGAAGAGGAGAGTGTGGTGGAATGGTACGTGTCGCCGTAGGTTGCTTTTCTTTCATTCACTCCAACGTATCCCAATTCACGTGCATTACGAAACGTTCCATTCATTGGAATTTCAAACATTCCAACTTACCTGGGCAGGCTTTTCGTTTTGGTCAAATCTTACGGCAGGGTAACTACTCTTGCATACATATAACTCCAGATCACTGAACCAGATATTCTGTTATCATCTCTGAGACCTAGAGCAAACCTGGGTATGGGGACTACCGCCAACTCGTGGCTAACTATGTTCAAGATTAACCTAAATAAGCGGCTGCAGACAACCAGCGGCACTGCTCAACTATGTGGTGGGTTCGTCACGTAGCAAGGGTTTTCTGTAGAAAACATTACATCTGTGGACATGTAGTATCATGTGCTCTCTTCTCTATCCTCCGTTCACGTTCAATAAATCGTTTTTTTTATCCATTTACATTTTCAGGTGGTTTCACTCAAGTGGTCTGGGCCGGATCACAACGCGTCGGTGTTGGTCGAGCCATGCTACCAAAACCGGGTCCAACTCCTGGTAGTTCTACCCCCGGCTATCGAATGGTTGCTGTCTGTTTCTACTATCCTCCGGGCAATGTGACCGGACAATTCAAAGCTAATGTGAATCCGAGTTCGCACTAACTCAAGATCACGTGCTCTACTCTCTCTTTCTCTCTCTCTGTCTGCCTCTCAATTGAACTGCTGCTGACCCTGCTTTACGGAACCGTCATCTTTTTTGCCTCCCTTACACTCAGACACGCAACTATGCCCAAGCAAACATAAATTACATATCTTTTGCACAATGCGAGTCTCATATCCTAAATTATCTTGCTATTTTAACGTTTGATGATAAGCGATCAGTATTCTGTGATTTATTTCGTCCATTTCGCTGAGCCCCGTTTCCTAATATTAATCATGTCTCAGTTACTAATTTCTGCCTCCCCCTCCCTCCCTCCCCGTTGCCTCCCCGTTTCTCTCGTTAACACACAAACACAGACAGACAGACAGACGGACAAACTCACATCATTATCGTTTATAACCCACACACTGGCTGCCAGTCTTGAAATCGGCTTTATTTTCGCTTACCTCATTTTATTTTTGTTGTTACGTATCATTTCACTAGACTTCTCATGTCATTCAATCCTGTGTTGCTGTGTGCTGTGCTTCCCACCCACCCCCGCCTCGCTCCCCGAGTTCCCTGATGACTTTGTGAACACAAACAAACCTGATCGGATAGTAAGCACACATTTGGTCATATCCTTCAGGAATTCAACCCACATGCTCTGCCCAATCAACTTCAACATCAATGAACACCATTTGAATTAAAATGAATAAATAAATTAGTTTTTTTCCCATCTGATTTGCCACCCTTTCCTTCTGTCGTGTAAATCGGCCGATGTTAAACACGACTGAGTTCATACAATACGAATTGTAAAGTAAATGAAAAATGCCCATTGCTCCGTGGAAAATAAAGTCCGGTAGGCGAAACAAGCTGTTTTTCAATAAATTCATCATCAACTGGCGAATACAATTATATGGGGTTATTTGGTTTTATCGATCTGGTTTTGATCGCATCAAACTAAGTACAAAAAAGATGCTAAGATTGTTTACTTGATTATCCTCATCATTAGTGCATTCTCTGGGGATGTATTGTTGGTTTTTTTCATCCGAGGCTATGGCAAAGCTAAAGACCGAACGAACTGGTTTTGTTTGCTCACGGGGGGGGNNGCTATCACCTCGATGCTAATAAACCGAAGTCGTTTTGACAGAGATGACGACGCGGGAAAATGATGCGGAAGACCTGATCAGCATTAACTGTGTGCCGTGCACCGATAATAACATTGATAACAATAAAAATGGACTCCTTTTTAGTTCGCATTGACTGGATTGATGTTTGCCCAACTAGGACTGCTTTTTTGCGAACGTTTCATCACTAACCGAGGAGATGTCTTCAATGTTTCCATTTATATGTATGGAACTTCTGCAATTTTTTTTCAAAGCCTGCACACTTTTCAACGAACGCAGAATCAGTTGAACTGTTTCACTTTCATTCATTGTACAGTGGGATACAGTGAAACAAGCTTCTCTGATCGCTACCAAATTCATGATNGTGAGAATGCGGAAGGAGGAAAGGGGTTGGAGCCTACTTTTACGGACGGGAAAAGAAAGCGAACCTCTATGGTCAACAGAGAGAGAGAGAGTACAGTCCAGCTGTGCATACACACCTTTTCAAGTATTCTGGTCCGATAAGGCGTGACAACATGATCACCACTGCTGTCGGTTTGCTGTCATGAGCTTCACTGTCTCCATTCTCTTTAGTTACCTCTTAACTCATCATGGTCTAGGTTAATCACTACTGACGAAATGGGAGTATTCGCTACATTCTGAGCCATTCCATGAGTATAAACGAATCAGAAAAATCACGTCTATAAAGACTCACCAAGTTTTGTGTTATTATTATTTGGAAAACAAATTTTCTTCAGTATAAATGCTGTTGCCTAGACGAACCAACTAGTGTTTCACAGGGACCCGTTGCTTCAGTTTCGATTAGACCTGTATATGTGCATGCATTTATTCATGCCTCGTCTCCACGTCATCAGTTGGACTTGGAGAAAACAACGTGCAATTGTTTGGCTGAGGAGATTAAATTGAGTCTCCCCGTCGTGAAACTAGAACGTAGATCGTTGTCTATCTTATCCGAGTCGACCAGTATCATATGGGACCAGATAAGGAATATGCAAACTAATTAGTGAGGTATTTTATCAAAACTAAAACCAAGCAATTGAACGCCACTGATAAAGATCAACATGCAAGGGAATGAAGAGCATCTACAAAGCCAAATTTTCTCCGAAATCCACCCGTGTGAGCTCCGCAGAAATCTGTTGGTAGTCTATCAAGGAGAGCGCTGGATGCACGACTTACCGCCAACTGATCATAAACGCCTCTTTACATAGACTATGACTGATCTCTTCTGAATCAAATCTAAAGTGGCCTCACGTTTAAACTTTTTTGAGAAAATTATGGACAAATTGTTTGTTGATTTAAAAGTGGAAATGACTGACTGAGAGGTACGAAAATGTCTGAATTTGTGNAATTCGTCGTGTATATAGCAAATGAAGCGTGAAGTGAAAAGCTCGGAAGCACTGGACAGCTGTTTCGACCTGGTTGGTTCTCATCAGCAGTGCGAATCCATCGACCCGACTGGGGATGGAACCCGACACTTCATGGGCAGAACGCGAGCGTGCTACCCACTACGCCACCGAGCAGCTGATCAGACCGTTTTTCATTTTCCATTTACACCATATAGCACAACCCATCTTTGAAAGTTTCTTGCGGACCACGGACCCTGCTCAACTCAGCACTAGCCTCCGCGGTTATGACTCGGTTGGAAACATTCGCAACCTGACTGATAATTTCATGTGAGTAATGGAGGATTTGGTTAAATTTCAAATGCCAATTCGTCGTGTATATAGCAAATGAAGCGTGAAGTGAAAAGCTCGGAAGCACTTGACAGCTGTTTCGACCTGGTTGGTTCTCATCAGCAGTGCGAATCCATCGACCCGACTGGGGATCGAACCCGGGACTTCGCGGGCAGAACGCATGGCGTGCTACCCACTACGCCACCGAGCAGCTGATCAGACCGTTTTTCATTTTCCATTTACACCATATAGCACAACCCATCTTTGAAAGTTTCTTGCGGACCACGGACCCTGCTCAACTCAGCACTAGCCTCCGCGGTTATGACTCGGTTGGAAACATTCGCAACCTGACTGATAATTTCATGTGAGTAATGGAGGATTTGGTTAAATTTCAAATGCCAATTCGTCGTGTATATAGCAAATGAAGCGTGAAGTGAAAAGCTCGGAAGCACTGGACAGCTGTTTCGACCTGGTTGGTTCTCATCAGCAGTGCGAATCCATCGACCCGNTGGGTCGATGGATTCGCACTGCTGATGAGACCCAACCAGGTCGAAACAGCTGTCCAGTGCTTCCGAGCTTTTCACTTCACGCTTCATTTGCTATATACACGACGAATTGGCATTTGAAATTTAACCAAATCCTCCATTACTCACATGAAATTATCAGTCAGGTTGCGAATGTTTCCAACCGAGTCATAACCGCGGAGGCTAGTGCTGAGTTGAGCAGGGTCCGTGGTCCGCAAGAAACTTTCAAAGATGGGTTGTGCTATATGGTGTAAATGGAAAATGAAAAACGGTCTGATCAGCTGCTCGGTGGCGTAGTGGGTAGCACGCTCGCGTTCTGCCCATGAAGTGTCGGGTTCCATCCCCAGTCGGGTCGATGGATTCGCACTGCTGATGAGAACCAACCAGGTCGAAACAGCTGTCCAGTGCTTCCGAGATTTTCAGTTCACGCTTCATTTGCTATATACACGACGAATTGTCATTTCAAATTTAACCAAATCCTCCATTAACGACATGAAAGATACCATTATAATTCCAGAAAATCGGTGCTGGCTCGAGGATAATTATCTGTTATGAATAACGGTTAGCCTAGCGGTAAATTGGCGCACATAGAACACAATGTCTCATTTGGAACGAGTCTTCACAATTCCCACACTCACACAGGATAGCTAATGGAACGCTTCAGCAGCAGATGCACATTCTAATACATAACATACTGAACAGCAGGAATTCGCTCCAACAGATCTTCTTCATTTTTGAACGTTGAAAGAAACCGCCAACCACATTCTCCTGCGTACTACTCACACATGTGAGTACTACTTCGCAACAATAGTAAATGTACATTTGAAAGGACAGACGGGAGACAAAGCACGGTCAATATAATTCGCCGTAAACCTTGGAATAAAATGGAGCGAGCTTCGGTGATGGCTGCCAATCTCACAATGATTACAGTTCGGTTCAGTTTGTACAACGATTAATCATGCACTTTCGTGCGACAGTTCTTGTTGCTGCCTATTTGGATGAAGGAGTGAAGGGACAATCGTATTGTTGAGAGCGGAGTCAAAGAGCAGATTGCAAGGATAGTGGGTAGCTGCACGAGCGTCACAGCCGCATCACTCAGAATTTTAAACCACCGGTTACGATGATCCCGAGGTTCCCATCCAGGGATCCGAGAGCCAACTATATAACCCAGTTTCTAGTTTTCATACCCTAATACCATTCTTAGTTTGACCGACCCTGACATTTTTTCATCCACTACCTGCCTCAAAAGACATCGCACATCGTGGCAACCTGTTTGGTGACATGCGCAACAAGCAACGACTAGCGTAATCTATGGAGATCGACCACTTGCCCAGTGGGAGACCGCGATTCAATAAAACTCTGTGTCGAATTTCAGCAATGCTTACAATGAAAGTGTGAATATTTAAGGTGCATAGGGGTTGGGCTTATACTGAGTGAAACTCCCTGGTTAACACAGTATACGCTATACATACACGCACCCTTTCAAGCACTCTGGCCTTATAAGAAGTAACAACAAGAACGTCACTGCTAGCGGTTCACTGCTCTGTCCTCCAGTGTCTCCAGTTAATCCGTGCTTTTGACCCCATCCTGGATGAATTGAGACACCTACTCTACCTAAATATTCTATGCGCTTCTACATGCCTCATCTCCATGTTATCTGTTGACCGCTATCTGTCTTGTTCCCACTCGGAGCGGCAAA